TTTGGGGGGGGGGGAGGAGGGGGGAAAACAGCTTTGTAACTGTGACGCATATATTTCTTCAATTGTGTAACTGTAACGCATATATTTCTTCAACATACGGTTAGGGTTAAAACAATTGAAATGTTTAAATCATTAAATTCGAATAAAAAGTAATTTTTAAAAATAAATCACAAAAGGAATTTTTCATTGCGAGTGGGGTCGTGACCTATGACCCATGACCCCTAGTGCTTCACTGCGGCTCTCAACAATTTTTTTAATTTTAGAAATGTCTCTCAGTTACTACAGGTCTGGCCACCCCTGCTATAGCCCCTTTCTATAAAGTGACGTCATGTGCATCATTGGATATCCCGACTTTGTGTGTGGTTGGATTAATAGACTTATTAAGGATTTGTCACTCTACACTACTAATGGACTTTATGGGCTTGCCTCGATTACTTTATTAATGGGCTTTATAGGCTTGCCTTGACCACTCTATTAATGGGCTTTATAGGCTTGCCTTGACCACTCTATTAATGGGCTTTATAGGCTTGCCTTGACCACTCTACTAATGGGCTCCACACGCTCGCCGTCTTAAGTATATTCCTGCTTAAGCAAGGGTCTGGCACACCAATAGGGTGATGAGGTACTTAATGTTACCTTACTGTCACTATCATTATATCGGGGAGTAGCACAGTTAAATTGATAATTAGTTAGAGACAAATTACAAAAACAATGTAAGTCTAGAATTCAATCAAATCGAAAATAGAATAATAAAGGTACTTTATTTATGTTTGTTACAAAATTCATTTTAGTCTCTCCCCCACCCCCTCCTCCCATTTTGTTCCCTGCATCTTTAAAATAGAGCAATTAAAAATGTATATTTTAAAAAAAAATGTGACTATAGACAGTTGAATTTAACCATAAAAACAATAGTTGTATAAATGAAAAGCGAGAAGTCCGCACTCTGACACATAGAACAGGACGATCACTGAAATATGAAATAGCCCAGGAGGATGACACACGCCATGAGGACAGCATGTGGGAAACGTTGACGTCTGGTTGGACTCGCCCCATTGGGGCTGTGACTGAAGTTCGCGTCCTTCTTGTGTGGACCTGTCGTCGGGACGTAATGAGGCGGCGGCTTGGAGTCCCCTTCCGACTCCAGGGGTTTCACTGTGGTGTTCCCTCCCTCGGATGAGACGGCACGTGTTGGCTGCACGTGGGGGCGAGGTGCTTGACCTGATGCAGGAGGCACTGATGCAGAGGGCACTGATGCAGGGGGCACTGGTGCAGGGGCCACTGATGCAAGGGGCACGTCTTGCTGCATGATGAGACGTGTTATTTGGTCAACGCATGTTTGCGGTGAGCCATCGCACAATTCCAGCACGTTGGAAAGGATCGAAAGTGGGACTGATGCTAACGGAGTGGCCTTTGACGCCAACATCGTGCAGGTGGTCAGGTCGTGACTGCATATGCTGGTAATTTTACTTATGATTTCCCCTGGGAAAGATTTAAATTTGTACATAACGTTCGTGACTGTCTGACAAACACTGCCGCTGTTCTCACAAAGCGATTTTAGTCCTTTAGCGACATGACTGGGTAGATTAGCGATTTCTGCAATGATCGCATCAACATTGGGAATTTTCAAGATGACACGCCACCAGTCCGAGCCTAGAGGTCGATCAGAAACGTAAAAGAAAAAAAAAATTATATACAACAGAATAAGAATGCATAGATCTACAGCATTTTTGTTTCAATGGTAAAAAAGTTATCAAACAAATTATTAACAAACAAAAAATCTTGGTGCTATGAGATGTGGCCCACTGTAAGTAAAGCCAAGCTAAAATAAAAGTTAAATGGAAAGTTAACTCATGAACATAATATTACTTATAGACATCAGACTTACCTGCCCTCTCTACCAAATTATGTTGCTCGGATCTGCTTTTCCCGTCAACTTGCAAAGCTCCAAGCAGAACTGGCACAAAGCATCCGACCATACACATGCGGCTGGGAAACATTCTCCAAGTGCAGGAATAGTCTCTCTCTGACACGATCACACAAGATGGCTCTCTCTGACACGATCACACCAGATGGCTTTCTCTCTGACACGATCACACCAGATGGCTCTCTTCAACAAAGTCCGCCCTATTTAAAGCAAAACAGTAGCACATAAAACTCTGCGCATGCGCATTAAAAACTATGCGCCAATGGCAGTTTCTAAAGTGGTTCTCAAATGATGAAAAGTATTTACCCGAAGATTTTGACAATGTCATGAAATGTTTGTATGTACAAAAGTTTGTAATTTGATTAGATATGTATTGATTATCATATTTCTTTCCGCTATAGAATAGTAAAAGGTGTATTATCATTTTTTAACAAATACAACCTGAATATAGTGTAAGAACCCCTCAGACGTTTGTCACTAGATCGAGGAATGCGTTTGCTGTCATTTTTAAAAGTTTTTTCAAAACCATTTCTTTTTCAATTATCGCCCACAGGTTAGGTTAGGTCGGAATTTTTCAGTCAAAGAATTTTATAAATAACTTCAACAGTCCTCACACAACTCTACCAGGGTCAACATAACAATGCATTCCAAACGCAGTTCATTGGCTTGGCACTGCAGGCCAGTACCGGTGAACTTGTCCCCCCCCCCTCTCCCTCCCCCATCTCAATCTGCGAAATCAAAAGCTTACCGCTTTTGAAAAACTGATGGGCGCCAATCAAACAAATGGATGTAACATCTTCATCGGGACGACAGTGGCTTAACTTCTCACGTTGTCTTGCTTTAATCTTTAAACAATTCTTCCACAGTTTTTGTTTCAAATTTAGAATCCTACATGTGCTGTTCTGATACTGCATTTCGTGCCTCTGTCCACGATAACCACAACATGGCTGCTGCGGTTAGTGTAAGCCATGGTTGGTAGTCTTAATGTTCGGAATGAAGCTTTAATAAAGAATCCTCCCTGACATATCACAGATGAAAACCTAGTTTTGATTTTTTCTTTCTCTCTTAGGCAAATTTTATTTCTCTTCATAACAGATGCTGATTCAGTATTAGTCCAAACAAAAATCAACCTTTTTCGTATAATTCTTTTTTCAATTTTTCAATTAACCGAACTTTGTCTCAGTTATTAGTCTCTGGTTTTTCCTTTTTATTTTACTTTAGCAGTTTAATTAGTTTACATGTTTTTAATACTTGTAAAGCGCTTAGAGCTGTAAGGTAAGCGCTATTTGAAAATGCCTAAATAAATAAATTAAAAAAATTAGTTGGCTTTTAAAGGGCTGATATAATGAGACGAAATAGAAGCTAAAATATTTTGTTTTTTAAAGTGTAAAAGCACTGATTAACCTCGTCATTTCCCCGTCCAGTTTAACATTCTTACACTTACACCCCCAAGCTTTGTTGTCTCTTTTGTGATTCAGGTGTCAAGTTCCTGTCCAACAACCATCCCAAACTAGTGACATTGGAATTCATAATTCCATCAACTAAAATTTGGAAACACGTGCTATTGTAAGAGAGTGTGTGGGATTTGGGGGGGGGGGGAGTGCGTGGGCAAGAAGACCAGAAAGAAGTTACGCAATACTCTGGTCATTGGTCGGACAATGCCTCCTTCCAAGCGGTCATCTGTTTTACTTGAACAGGGATTCTAAAACTTTTTGCTTAGTGCCTTCGTCATTATAACAGAATAACAACTAATAGCTATAGCTATAGAGACAGATATATAAATAGATAGATAAATAGATAGAGAGATAAATTAAACATAGAGAAAGATACATATATTGATAGATATAGATATATTGAAACATAGGAGCCAGATTGATCAATTCGTTGATCGTGGGCCCACAAAATATTAAAGAAGAAGATAATGGATATATATATAGTAGATAGTTTGAATGATAGAGAGATAGAGAGATAGAGAGATAGATAAATAAATTGACAGATATATATATATATATATATATATATAAATATATATATATATATATATATATACGGATTTATAGATGGATACATTAATGGATGGGTGGAATAATTGATATATTGATAGATTGATTGATAGATAGATAGATAGATAGATAGATAGATAGATAGATAGATAGATAGATAGATAGATAGATAGATAGATAGATAGATAGATAGATAGATAGATAGATAGATAGATAGATAGATAGATTAGATAGATTAGATAGATAAATAGATAGATAAATATATTATTTTTCCTTCAAAAATTTTGTTACACAATTGAAAGTTCCAGAAGTAAAACATAGCTGCAGTTGACATGTAAACAATGGCTCTCCCAGTACGACCCTGCATTATGGTCCAAAAATATTCTTTGTAGATACGTTTTTAAATGACTCTACTCTCAATAATGTTTTTTCATCCCTGAACTAATAAGTGAGAAATTTTGGAAGAAATGGAATTGTCCAACAAGAAATGGAAGGGTCCAATTAGAAATTGAAGGGTCCAACAAGAAATTGAAGGGTCCAACAAGAAATTGAAGGGTCCAACAAAAAATAAAAGGGTCAACAAGGAAAGGAAGGGTCAAACAAGAAATGAAAGGGTCGAACAGGAAATTGATATAATGATGGATGGTGGATGAAAAGATGGATGGTGCATGGATAGATGGATAATGGATGGATGTATATTTTGATGGTAGATGGACATATTGATGGTTGATTGGTAGATTGATGATGGCTGGTGGATTGATAGATGCATGATGAATGGATGATGGATGAATGAGTCGTCAATGGTTTTGTAGGATATATTCACGTGGTGATGGGGTGTTTCGATGGATGAACAGATAAATGCATGGATAGTTGCGCGACTGGATGTTTATGAACTGACCGATGGCCATGAGGATTAGCGGATAGATTGATTGATAGGTGAAATGGATGACAGGAAGGATGTATGGATTTAGTGGAAATGGATGAATTGGCCGGTGTAGGATGGATTGCTTATGTGACAGATAGATGGATTTTATGAGATGCACAATAACATCATATTAACAAGTAACATTGTCCTTATTTGATAATGTGAAGTCTTGGTATTGAAATGAAGGCAATGGCTTTTATTAGGTTCTGCCTGTATCAAAAATAAATACTTTTACAGAGTAAATATCGCGATAGCTAGACTTCCAGCTATTAAGTAATAACCCCCCCCCCCCAAATGTCAAATAACAAAACACTCCAACAGACGCTCATTCTCTCGCTTTTTCTCTCTCTCTCATTTTCTCTGAAACTCTCTCCGTCTCTCTAAACATGTCTCACTGTTTCTCTCTATACTCTCGTTCACCCTTAATGTGTCTTTCTCTGCCTCCCTCTCTCTGTCTCTCTCTCTCTCGCTCTCTCTCTCGATGTCTGTCTCTCTCTATTTATCTCATTTTGTCTATCTAAATCACTCTCTCCAAAATCTCTGAAATTCCCGCTACCCTTGACCCTTTCTCTCTGTATCAAACTCTTTTATCTCTCGCTGCCCCTCGCTATGCCTTGTCTCATTTCTTTTTACTCTCTCTCTCTCGCTCTTTCGCTCTCTCTCTCTCTCTCTAAATGTATTTACGTCTCTTTCACCTATCTGCCTACTTCTTCCTATTTATTATTTTCTATTTATCTATTACAACAAAAAAAAAAACAACAACAACAAAAAAAACAACAAATTTCACAGTCCGTCTGGCGGTCTCTCTCACAAACTTATTGTCTTTCTAACTCTCTCTCTCTCCCCTCTCCCTCCCATCTCTCTCTCCTCTCTCTCTTTCTCTACCCCTCTCTCTTTCTCTCCCTCCCTCTCCCTCTCCATCTCTCTCCCCTCTCCATCTCTCTCTCCCCTCTCCATCTCTCTCCCACTCTCTCTCATCTCTCTCCCTTCTCCCCCTCTCTCTCCCCCTCTCCCCCCTCACTCTCCCCTCTCTCCTCTCTCTCACCCCCATCTCACACTTTTTCTCCCTCCCTCTCTCTCTTTATCTCCCCTCTCTCCCCTCTCGCTCCCCTCTCCCCACCATCTCTCTCCCTTCTCTCCACATCTCACTCTTTCTCTCCCTCTCTCTCTCCTTCTCTCCCCACTCTCTCTCACCACTCTCCCCCTCTCTCTCCCCTCTCTCTTCCCTCTATCTCCCCCATCTCACTCTTTCTCTCCCTGTCACTCTCTCTTTCTCTGCCCTCTATCTCCCCTCGCTCCCTCTCTCTCTCTTTCTCTCCCATCTCTCTCCCCCTCTCTCCCCTCGCCCAGTCTCTCCCTTACTCTCCCATCTCCCTCCCTTCTCTCTCCCCTCTCTCACCCCTCTCTCCCCCTCTCTCCCCTCTCTCTCCCCTCTCTCTCACCTCTATCTCTGCCCTCTCTCTCCCCTCTCTCTCCCCCTCTCTCCCCTCTTTCCCCTCTCTCTCACTCTTTCTCCCTCTCTCTATCTCTCCCCTGTCTCTCCCCTCTCTCTCCCCTCTCTCTTCCTCTCTCTCCCCTCTCTCTTCCTCTCTCTCTCTTTCTCTCCCCTCTCTCTCTCTCCTCTCTCTCCATCTTTCTTTCCCCTCTCTTTCCACTCACTCTCTTCCCTCACAATCTCATATTCTCACGGACATCTACATGGCGTTGAAGTTGTTATGACATAGCCACGTTGGCACATGTCATGCTTTGGCTTCGTCACATCCTTACATCACAACTTCTATATCGATGGGTTCAAGGGCGTATTTCCACCTTACATTATCACAACAGCTCTAACCCATAAGTACAAGGGCGCATCCCATACCTGTTCTAATCCACAAGGGCGCATCTCCTCCTTACCCCATAATTGCTCTAATCCATAATTACAAGGGCACATCTCCTCCTTACCCCATAATTGCTCTAATCCATAATTACAAGGGCGCATCTCCTCCTTACCCCATAATTGCTCTAATCCATAATTACAAGGGCACATCTCCTCCTTACCCCATAATTGCTCTAATCCATAATTACAAGGGCGCATCTCCTCCTTACCCCATAATTACTCTAACCCATAATTACAGGGGCACATCTCCTCCTTACCCCATAACTGCTCTAATCCATAATTACAAGGGCGCATCTACTCCTTACCCGAAAACTGCTCTAATCCATATTTACAAGGGCGCATCTCCTCCTTACCCCATAATTGCTCTAACCTATAATTACAAGGGCGCATCTCCTCCTTACCCCATAACTGCTCTAACCCATAAGTACAAGAGGGCATCTCCTCCT